ATAAAGATGGGAACGTTTACGTAGCAATGTGGTAAAAATCTCACATCACACCACATATCATGATATTTTAGAAACACACACAATGCACCATGAGTGCCACATTTAAAAACTGCTCAAAACTCTGGGCACAGTGATGTTTATTCAGTGTTTCACCCAGTCTACTGCATTAAAATTCAGTTTAAAGTAATAACATAACTTATCATTATATGATATGATTAATATGATAAACATCATCAGATTGCCCATCTCTAGTTCTCCACATAACATGAGCAACTGTGTGTGTGCTGGTCTTCAACTCAAATGAATATTTTTGATCCAACATTGCAAAACAAAATATTAGTTTAGATGAACAAATGCAATATTTCACATCTGTTTAAACCTCAATCGGCTTTGAGTCCAATTCTGTCAAGTTTGAAGTCAGACCAACCGATTTAACAAGTTGAATCAGAGGTGCTTTTTTATTAAGCTTAATTTTAATTACAACCTGCAGCTACACCAGCCTTTTATGGCTGATATTGGTGACCACTGTTTTATGATACCACTAAAAACACATTGTGGCACCTTTATTTTTGAGAGTGCATGTCTGACAAACTGTCCCTTACACAGTAAAAATGTTAGTTAAGATTAATCACAGCAGTCAATGAAATGGCTAGCAGCTTGGCAAGTAAAAAGGTCCTAAATGTAAGCAAAACATGAACACTGTTTAACCTATTTCTAGTCACTTTACATATATAACGTGAATATCAAGTGACTTATCAAGTTCAGTGGTGTGACTTCACTGGCAAATGCTTTTACTTTCTTCCAGCATAACATCTTTAAGCCAAACTATGTGCCAGAGCAGTCTGGTCATTTAACTTGATAACAGTACTTAAAATAGCCTACATCTAAATATCTAGAAAAAGAAGTAGTAACATTTTTAAAGCAATGTCAAAATGTGAATTATTGTCTACATTGCCTAGAAGCTTCCTCTTGCTATCATTCTGTGCAGTGTCAATGCCATGTTAGGCTTGTGAGGGACAGAGATCCAGTAAAGCCAGTTAATAGACAGAGAGAACAGAGAGAGGCTGTGCTAGCAGATGCCTGCTTTATTAGATCAGAAGTTTGGCTTCGCTTTCAGTTCTGCTTCATGCTGAAGTGACTCAGGCAGACTCATGTGTGTCTTCTGTGCAGCTGTAATTGTGAAATATTCCCACAAGCTGTTTCTCCCTGCCAACATAAAAAATATATTGTATTGATGGAAACTATGGGAGACTGCAATCATGCAGTACTTTTGAGTCATAAAGCACTTAATTGACCGACCCATGCTCCGCCCACAAACACATTCTTTTATGGTTACTGTTGCTAAGGTTGGTAATGTGAAATTGTAGCTTACTCAGTTCTTGTCAAAATATGGATGTTTATGGTTGATTTCATTTTGTCAAAATATGGATATTTATGGTTCATTTCATTTTGTCAAAATATGGATATTTATGGTTCATTTCAGGGCAGCACTGTGATGCAGTGGGTAGCACTGTTGCCTCCCAGTAAGAAGGGCCTGGGTTTGATTCCCAGCTGGGCGACCAGGGTCCTTTCTGAGTGGCGGTTGCGTGTTCTCCCCGTGTTTGCGTGGGTTTCCTCCCACAGTCCAAAGACATGCAGTCTGGCCAATTGGAGATGCTAAATTGCCTTTAGGTGTGAAGCACCCCCCCTCCATGCTGACCCAGAAGGATAAGCGGTTTAGAAAATGTGTGTTCATTTCAGACGCATGTGAGTGGTCACACTGTCAGGAAAGATCAGTTATAGTTTTTTGTGATGTAATCAAGCTGGCATTAGCATGATGGCACATTCTATTTTGTTTCCAGTCTATGAGCTTCAGCTACGTAGTGCAGATAGCTGAAAACAGCGTTATTTAAAGACTGACCAACCACTTCATTATGTAAAGACTGACCAGCCGCTTCATTAAGTACCCCCCTTGTATTTACATTCTCAGCTCCACTTATCATAGAGGAGCACTTTGTAGTTCTACAATTACAGACTGTAGTCGAGCTAGCCTCTGATCAGATCATCTGAACCCGAGGTTTAATGGAAAAGATAAAACCAAAAAAAAAAAAAAGAATCTGACCTTTTGTACAAAGACTTCAATATGGTCAGTGTTACATATTTACCTAAATTTGTATAGTGATTTAGAAATAGATTTTAAACAAATATTGATTTCTTTGTTTCAATTATTTTCTAAATTCTTAAATATTCTGTTGTTCATTTCATGAATTAAATGAAAAAAAAACAAGTTTTCAAAATAGTCTCAGATTGTTCGACTCCACTGTTGGCTTCAACAAATATTCAGCTTAAATGGTAAACAGTTAAACAATCAACAAAATAAACAAAAGTAAGAAAGAAGAGTGTTAGCAGTTTTTGGAAGAATGAAGGGAAATGAACACATCACTAAGTGCAAAACATACATACATCCATACATAATCTAAACCGCTTATCCTTCTGGGTCATGGTGGGGTGCTGGAGCCTATCCCAGCTGTCATTGGGCGGAAGGCAGGATACACCCTGGACAGGTCGCCAGTCCATCACAGGGCAGACAGACAGACATACACAATCACACACTCACACCTAGGGGCAATTTAGCATGTCCAATTAGCTTAACTGCATGTTTTTTGACTGTGGGAGGAAACCCACACAGACACGGGGAGAACATGCAAACTCCACACAGAAACGACCCTGGTCGCCCAGCCGGGAATTGAACCCAGGACATTCTCGCTGTGAGGCAACAGCGCTACCCACTGCGCCACCGTGCTGCCTGCAAAACAAACAATATATGTAATATAAGGAGTAATGTAGTGAAAAACATAAAGGAGATCAGAATTTAGCACTTGGTGGGGTAAATGTATTTGGCAGAGTGGTTTATTCACTGTGTGATGTAGGTCAGTTCCTAAGTTATGGACCTCACGAATGTTCTGATCCTGGTTGTGACCCTGTTAACCAGATACAACACTTTAATATACACCATCCACCCGAGTACAGTGAGAATTAGAAACCAACAGTAGCAAAGATAGATAACAGGACACTGACAATAAGCTACAATACGAAAAAAAAGTCAAGAGAATGAAAAAATGATAATTTGCGTAATAATACCACAAAGTCAAAGTCAATTTTACTGTCATTGTTTTTCACCACATATATGCTAAATGAGGAATGAAATATGTATTTAAACCATCATTAGAAAACTTATTTACACTATTGATTCAAATACTTATCTAAACCCTTAAAATCCTAAGCTATTCTTAGGTTGTAGAAGTGTGTGATTAAACTTTGGGCCTGCTAGTGGACCCTGGCCTTTTAAAGGGTTAAAATTATTTATCACTTTATTCATTGATATCAATGATCAGCCAAAGGCTAAAGGATAAATCAGTTGAATATAACAAAAATAGAAACTAAAAGGGCAACACGGAATATTACACAAGAACCTGCTTACAGCAGCCATGGAGGAACAGCAATGAAAAATGATGTCATTGTTTCTTGTTATTAGCCTGTTAGCCTGCAGTCACCTCACATGAATGTGGAGGATAAATGGGTTTGTCCTCTTGTCACTGCTTTAGATCTTACTTAAAGGGATGGAAATTCTAACTGCTTGTCATTTTACAATATTAGAAAGCATAAAAAATGGGTCCATTTTTTAAAAGAGGACTGTTACTGTAACTGAGCGAAAGACATAACCATTTTATAGCTGAATATGACAGCAATATGTTTTTCCATCCCAGGCTGAACATCACTAGAAGGAAACTGAAAGCTTATTTGGGTTTTAATGAAACTCAGTAGGCCACTTCATAATATATTCTCCATTCTCTGCAGGATTTTATCATTATTCATTTACTTTTATTGGAAGTGAAGAAGAAATAATATGAGAGCTCTGAAGATCACATCAGAGAGTTATGCAACTATTTTTTGCACTTTTCCATTAAAAGGAGAATTCCACGGACTTGTCAAAATTTCTGTGTAATTCTAAATTACTTTCTTAGGTCCCTTTTTGCACTATTTGAATGGAATGTTTTCTTTATTATTATATAAAAATAAATAATGCATGATTAAATAATTATAAGTAACCCCGAGGGATTCCATTGATTATAAATGCATTATTACAAACATTTTCCATTTTGAAGAGGAATTCCACTGATTTATTATGCCTGCATAATTCAGTGGTTGAGATGTAAACAAAGTCATTCAGAGTGGTTTGATGGCTTATTGCAGGGAAGCTTGCTTAGATTTCTTTACAGTGGTGGTGATAGGAACCAGGGGTCACCATGTCTACAACACAAATATAGTCATTTTATTTACTGTGCAAAACCACCAGTGAACCTACATGTGTCTTCTGAGTTTCATATGTAATGTTGTTGATGGTAAAATAGTGGTAAATCTAAGAAAAAAAAAACAGTTTTTGGGAGCTGTTTTGCACTGCGTGTACCTCTGCAGTGTGAATATATTACAAAAATTCCTTTAAGGCAAAAACCTTCTTAACACTGTCATAAAATAATGTCTCAGGCATCAGGCATTGTATTCATAATTACTTTAATTAATGACTTTCTGCGAGGAAGTTTTTACCAGTAGTATCCGACTGCAGACCAGAAGTACTATCTCAGTATCTCCCGCGCTCTCCATGTTACAACTGCCAAGCCTCTTGACCTTTACATGACATCATATCCAGAGCTGAGAGTGCAGGGTTGACAATGAAGGGCTGAGAACCTGGTCCTGCAGTTCTGCAGCTAGACCCTACATGCTTTTACAGGCATTAAACTCTTGAGACGTCTGGTTCCTATCACCACTGTGACCACTCAGACTTAAGTAAGTTTCTCTAGAATGGAACATTTCACACCAAACCACTCTGAGTGACTTTATTTACACTTTAACAATTTAATTATGCAGAAATTTTGAAAAATCAGTGGAATTCCCCTTTAAGATCTTTATATAAGCTTGTATTATTTTGTATTTTTACTTTGGTCTTTTTTTTATCATTATAGGATGAGAAGAATCAGCTTATGACGACTAATGTGTGGCTCTGGCAGGTAAGTGTTACTCTTAACAACAGCAGTATTGTTAACGTGATAAATAACTGAATGGTATTAAGCTAAATATGAGTAAATGAGTTTGGCTCATAGTCATTGTGGTTTATAAACGTTTTGTGTTTGGTCTTAAAGTGATTCATTTATGTTAATGTTGCCTAATGAACATTTTACCAAACAGATCTGTGCCAGAAAATTCAAGGCACAAACTAGCATTACCTCAGATACATTCCTGGATGATGGTAAAAATGCTGCCCTGATGAATCAGTGGCTATGTTTACATGCAACGATTTTTGCCAATCAATACAATCCGATTACAGATTTAGACTGAGGTGTTTATATGCACTCTATTCAACAATCTGATGGAAAATCTTCGTTTACATGCTCACTACAAGTAATCCGATGCAAAATGACGCGCATGCGTGGAGTAGCGCTTAGAGTAAACGTTACCATGACAGCGAACATCACGTGAAGTCCAGACCAGTTTCTGCTCCGCCATGTTGAGCGGTGTAAACTTTCGCCGTGACGCGACGCACATGCGCAGAACATACTTACACGTTCCGATTGGAATGTAATCGGATTCAGGCGTTTACATGGCTATTATTCTTCTATTTAACGGATTATTTAGAAGTTTACCCACCTAGTTTAATCGGATAGAAATTGTATTCCGAATGGCCTCAATCGGATTAGACTATTCCGATTGAGGTGTTTACATGGACGTATTCTATTCCGATTGAGCTATTAGTCGGATTATTAACGGATTATCAGGCTGCATGTAAACGTGGCTAGTGATTGTGTTCACTAACACTGTTCTGGGTTTGTAGGAATGGATAGATTATAAACTGAGGTGGAACCCGGAGGACTACGGCGGTATCACTTTCATCAGAGTTCCATCAGAGAGCATTTGGCTGCCGGACATCGTTCTGTATGAGAAGTATGTGTGTCCTGATGTAACTGTATACACTGGATATATATTCGGAATCTTAACCCTTAGAAGCTGCAGTTCTGGCTGTTGATGATTTTAGGATCCTGTAATATAAGATGAATTATTTCTCCCTTGAAAGAAGATAGTTTGGTATGATTTGAATTTGATAAAATGTTACTGTTGTGTGTACAGTTTTGTTTTGGCAAAACTAATAACCATCTTTTACTTTTTTGATGTTTTCTTATTGTTGACTTTGAAACAAATTAAAAATGTAAATCCAGTAAAAAAGTAGTCTATACTAATCTATGAAATTAATCTAATAATCATGTAATCTTAACAATAATGATAATAATGTTTTTTAGATTGTATATCAAAATAATGATTAAAAAAAACTCAAGCTGTTTAAGGGTTAAATCGGCTCTCTGGACAAAGTGAAAAACTGAACCATCACAACATCTGTTGTAAGTATGCCAACTCACCTACTACTGTGGCGCTGCAGTTGTCTCAAGGCAAATTTCTCCCATTTAAAGTCTAGTAAACCCCCTCTAATCATGTATCTTGAAGGTGGGAGGAGTTTTTGAAAAAACTACAAGCATTTTTTTTGTTTAGTTTGTTTTTTCCCACTAGCTGGCTAATGCAGAAGGAAGTCAGATAGCCAAAAGGAAGCTGAGTATTAGGTCTTTTATTAGCCTCTACATCAGAGGCTGCTAATTTAATACTGTGGGGAGGTTCAGAATGGTTGTATGACATATTTGTGTAATGCATGCTGGGTATTGTAGGGAAAGAACAATGATGGATCAAAGTCCCAAAACAATACAAAGTCATGAATTCTGTGAAAATGATGCAATGCCATAGAATATTACATAACATGACAAATAACATATTAAATCCCAGTTTTAGGCCGGAAAGCCTCTTTAAGAGTCATTTCCATAATGCTAATGAGTTTGTTTGAAATGTCTTGTAGCGCTGATGGACGTTTTGAAGGCTCTCTAATGACCAAAGCCATTATAAAGTATAACGGTGCCGTCACCTGGACCCCTCCGGCCAGCTACAAGTCTGCCTGCACCATGGATGTCACGTTCTTCCCGTTCGACAGACAGAACTGCTCCATGAAATTTGGCTCATGGACCTACGATGGAACCATGGTGGACTTGGTGCTGGTGAACCACCAAGTTGACCGCAGCGACTTCTTTGACAACGGCGAGTGGGAGATTTTGAGTGCCACCGGTATGAAGGGCAACCGACGCGACGGTACACTATCCTACCCCTTCATCACCTACTCCTTCATTCTAAAGCGTCTTCCTCTCTTCTACACACTCTTCCTCATCATCCCCTGCCTGGGCCTGTCCTTCCTCACCGTGCTGGTCTTCTACCTGCCGTCGGACGAGGGCGAGAAGGTCTCACTGTCCACCTCCGTCCTTGTCTCCCTCACTGTCTTCCTGCTGGTCATAGAGGAGATCATCCCATCCTCCTCCAAGGTCATCCCCCTGATCGGCGAGTACCTGCTCTTCATCATGATCTTTGTCACCCTGTCCATCATCGTCACTGTGTTCGTGATAAACGTGCACCACCGCTCCTCCGCCACCTACCACCCCATGTCGCCGTGGGTACGCTCGCTCTTTCTGCAGCGGCTGCCGCACCTGCTGTGCATGAGGGGTCACACTGACCGCTACCACTACCCTGAGCTGGAGCCCCACAGCCCAGAGCTGAAGCCCCGCATCCGGAAGGCTCCTCCAGGCCCTGAGGGCGAAGGTCAGGCTCTGGTCAACATGCTGGAAAAGGCCACGTGCTCTGTCCGCTACATCTCTCGACACATCCGCAAGGAGCATTTTATCCGAGAGGTATGGGGGGTACTTTTGACCCCTTAAGCCCACAAGTGTGGACAATTTAGAGCTGCATGATATGGACAGTAAAAGGGTTCAGTGTTCAGTAAAGCTGTTGGATATCAAGATGACAGTATAAGAAGTGATAAATTATTATTACCTTTTATTTAAGCAAAAAATACAAAATTTCAAATACAAAATGTACAAAATTTCAGAAGCATCATTCACTAACATGCAAAAATACAAATAATGAAATATTAATAGCTACTTATGTCAGAACTGCAAGCACATTTTTGTGCTCTGTATGACTTTGAGCATAGTAGTTTAACAACTAACAAAAACTATTATTATCTCTGATACCAATAATAAGAATGTTCTAGGTTCTCTTTAAAGACATTTTTTTCACTGTGCTTTTGTTTTATACTACTGACTCCGCCCACAAAATGAACACACAGCTAGTACAGAGGCATCTCATACATTACAATCATAGAGCATTTAAATATGTTATGTTATCATTAAAGTATGTTATTCTAGGAGAATAGTATGGAGCCCTGCTGGTGATACATTGTTTAAATAATAATAATGCGTGGCCACAACTTAGTAAAGCAAGAGAATGAGATAATTAAGTCATGGCCACAACTCAGTAAGCATAAGATAATGAAGCCTTGGCCACAGCTTAATAAGGCCCGATCTCGTTCCCTCACCTTACAAAGTCATGGCCATGCTTTAGGATCTTGTTCCCACTTGTTAATACAGCGTGGCCAAGCATTATTCTTATTTATACAGGATATCACCAGCAGGGCTCGGTAGAGTAGTCACACTACATAATCACATTATTCTACAATAATAAAAAAACAAATGCATTAATCCAGAACTCATAATACATAATGAAGTATTTTATAACGGCTCAGCCCATCAGATTTCAGAACTGAATTATCGTTTTTATAATTGATATTTTGATGGGTTGCCTCCTCAAGTTGCCTAGACTTGCCAATTAGTGATTGCTTTAATTTGGTTTTTGACAAAATGGGCATCTCAATGCTAGAATATTATACATTATAACCACTTTTTTTTAAACACAGAATTCAGCAACTGTGCAATGACCTCTATTATAAATGAGTTTTGAGATTTCAGGTTCATGGAAACACATCAGATTTATTATCTGAGAAAATCAACTGTTCATTGCAGATAAAAATGAAGCTGAAATTTGCTGGAACATTCTTTTCAAAGAGCATGATAGACACTGAAAGAAACACCAAAAAAAAAACATCAAGTGCAGTATGGAAGCTGTAAAACCCAGTCTGCATTCAGAACCAGGACCAGAAGGTCAGATCTAGTTTTGCCTTAAGGACACCATAATGAGGCATATTTGTTGGGGGAACAAAGTCTTGTTGTAGTGTTTAATTCATACTTATAGTTGCAGATTATTTAAACATTTTCAAAATAAAACACTGTATACTGTACAAAATATATAAGTCAAGAAGCTTTCAATGTGGTATCTATATTATTCTAGCATAAAACAAAATCAGTGGGTGATATGTAATGTACCGTGTTTTGCAAAATGTGTTATTAGTAACGGGAATGATGACAGCACTGACAGATTGATGACAGTGATGAAGATTATAGAGATGATTTTATAGATTTGAGAAAAAAGAAATTGATGAGGATGATGATGGTGATCTGTTCTTTCTCTAGGTGGTGCAGGACTGGAAGTTTGTGGCTCAAGTGCTGGACAGAATCTTCCTCTGGGTCTTCCTCACTGTCTCTGTACTGGGTACCATCCTCATCTTCACTCCTGCCCTAAAGATGTTTCTCCGCACCCCGTCTCCTTCCTCAGCTCCATAGAGCCAACATACTGATTCTCACAGGAGACGCAGTAGACCTTTAAGCTAGGGTCGGGTATTGTACACCAGTTCTTTGTAGTGATTCAACTAGAATTATTTTGCTCATTCCGATTCTTCATTTCATTACTCTGCTACAGACTGCATGCCTTAGTCATTTTACCTATAGTGGAAGTGGTGCCGCACGGACACAGAGCAGAGCAATTCCACAAAGGTTTTGTTTTCACACCAGTTGCGAGTGAAAAATATTGCTGGGATGTGTTTGTACATGCTTCTAGTAGCATGTGGCTGGTTAGCCAGTACAGCTCAAAGATTAATTATGTTTGTATCAAATGAGTGTGATGCTTAGATTGCAAGAGCTTCAATTTTAATAATAGCTTACATTATATTTCCATAAGCAAGTTTTAAATGAGGAAATTTGACCCACTAACACAGAGCTGGTAAACTGTCTGTAGGAGAGTCAGACCAATCAGAAGCAGCCACATTTTAATAGTTCTATACATGAAAACACAACCACAACTAACTGGCAGCCTGGCGCACAATTGGTGTTCAAGCCTTGGACCAGAAAAAGTGGATATGCCAATGCTGGCCAAAAAAACAGGCCTAGATCTTGATTTAAACAAAATAACCACATTTTAAAATGTGCAAAAGCACCATATCAGTCCAAAAAAGGTGGTTAGTTATTTTCTCCAAATTATTTATCCCTACTAACTGGCCAACATGTGCCAGTCAACAAAACCTTTGACTGGTAATGTGAAGTTTAGTATGTTTAGTCAACATTTTATAAGGCTATGGTAGCGCTTTTCTCATTAGCATGCATGCTGCATAGGTTCAAGTGAGTCTTCATAAGTAGATATTGATACAGATATTGAATATCAGGATTGGGCTGATAACAGCAGAAAATGCTGGGTCAGATATTAAAGGCAAAAAACAATTGAATCTGATCCAATCTATCCTGAAATAGCACTCACACTGGGTGATGTGATGCTGTTAGCTGTATATTCCTTCTTTAGGGGTAGCAGAGTGTTTGAATAGTTTTATCATGATAATCTACTTTTAGATGCTCATCTTAAGTGAAGTGCTCCACTTAGTAGTAGCTCATTTTAAAGCATAGTAGATTTTCAAGAAGAAATATTGGATGAGTATTTTCGATATTGGTATCGGAAAAGTGGTATCATGCCGAGAGAGTATATCAGGTTCTTTACCTGTTTTGTTTTTTTCTATTCGATAACATAGTAATTTTAGTTTTGTTTAGGACTCGGAACCCTTTCAGGGAGTTGTCAGTGGTCTCAATACCCAACCCTACTTTAAACCACTTTACACGCCGAGAGACAAAAACACAGCACAGCATTCATAGATTCACACATATCTAGTCAATGTGATGTTCTCTCACTGTTACAAACAATGGAAATGTATTATAGCAAAGAAATCTGAGGACCAATACATTCAAAACTGTCAAAACATTGTGTTGCTCATATTATACATCTTGTAATCTTGTTTCTTGCTCTTTTGCGGCAGTTGGGGTTACTGTAGTGCTCTGGGGAGCCATTCGCTCAGATTTCTGGAGCTGTGTGTTCATATCACTTTTCATGGTAGACACTTTTTATTTTTTCTCCATCATGTAGAAACGCTGATTGACCTCTGCAGTTGTAGATTCTACAGAATCAGAATAGTCTGTCCATTCTCCTGCACAGATGTCTAGGTGGCAGCACTGTTGTGGTTGATGGCGTAATATCCTTTCTTATCTTCTGTGCACATATCACATGTGAAGCATCCAAGCTGAGAACCACAAACCACAAGCCTCAATATTAGACTCACAGACCCAGACTGCTACAGACCTCAAATAAAGTACTATCAAATAACAAGGCAAAACCGCTGGTTATGATTCTTTGTGCATGAAAGAAAGATCAAATGAAGGGATGAAGTCACTACAGGAATGTACTGAAAGCTGTTTTGCTTTAGCAATAAAAAAAAAAAAAATCACTGCAACACAGTCGGGCTGTATGAAATAGAATGAATGAATTGGGACATGTGGCTGTAGGATGTACTGTGTTTTTGGTGTGTATGTAGTGTGCTTTGATTTAATGGTAACACTTTACATGAATCCTGCTACATAACATTGACAATCATGCCATTAACATCTCATGGCCGATGTTATGACAGATTATGTCCAGTAATATAACAGTGTCATGTTACGATTACTGTTAAATGGACAAGCACCCTACACTATACCAATAAGAGTCCTTGGGCAAGACTCCTAACACTACCTTCGCCTACCTGTGTAAAATCATCAAATTGTACGTCACCCTGGATAAGAGCGTCTGCCAAATGGCAAAAATATCATGACAGATGTCGTATTGTCTGATGCCATGACTACGTATGATACCTGTAATGACGTTATATAACATAGGCAGATTCAGTAAATGAACTGAAATGAATGGGGAGATTACCTTGGAAAGGATGTAGATCAGGAGAGCGAGCAGAAGCAGTGCAAGAACCACGCTGAGAAGAATGACCCACCATGGAACCCGACTAAGGAAGGTAGGCTTCTTCTCCGGGAACACCGTTAGCCTCACCAGCACCTGACGTTTAAATATTGGTTGCTGACCCTTTTTTCATTTACTGGATCATGTGTATGTCACAGTATTCACATAGACTTATTTTAATCATCATTTTGGTAACAGCACAATTCTGAAGAGTACAGCTAACTTACAGTGAGAGCTAGCAAGGCTAAAGTACAGCCACAAATACAGTCGTAAAGTACAGTATATAGAGCTGTATATATTCAAAACAGTAATTTGATGGTACTTTCTATTCACAGATTCTGTAAAAACACGCTACTTATTTCCATATTTCAGGTTTAATGTGATGATATTTGCTGTTCTACTTTGTAGTAAAAATAAATTAGATTCACATACTCTCTTTTCACTAGTCATATTACTTGTGGTGCATTTTATGCATATTATTTAGAAAGCTTATTAAGTTTATACAATATACAATTAAATTCTTTGGCCCTTATTCATGAAAGCTGCGGAAAAAAGATCGCAGATTTGACCACCTTTAATGATGTAAGAACTCATCAAACTTTCATATCACGTGGAAACGAGGGGAGATTTGAACACAAATGATGAATCAGCTTCAGTGCATGAAATCAAGTGCCGGCCTACCAGCACTTCATTTACATATCAGTCACATTAAGCACATCCTAATGTATGCAAATGTTTTGGTAGGGAACAAATAAAAAAAAACACCATTCTGCAGCTCATGAGCCAATGGCGGTGCCTGTAGCAGAGTTTGAGGTCAAATAGTGCACTGCTTGCACTACTGACCAAATTTACTAGTTGAAAACCTAGAAACTAGCCCTTAGAAACAGCCCAAAAACTGACGGCACATTTTTACCCTAACCCAGCTTACAACACACCTGTGAAAGGTATTTAGTGGTCTTATAAGGTTGCTTCAGTTGTTTTTGGAGCCAGCTTAGACCAAGTATGCGGACAGGCTGGCAGTCATCAAAGACTGGTTTGAGAACCATGGTTCTCCATGCTAACAACTATGAACTGTGATTTAAATAAGTGTTCTAGATAGTGTAACAACAGATATGCATGCTAAATTGAAAATCTCACTCTAGTCTTCCAAAGTTGTCAACCTTATTTAATATAGAAGGCTTCAATGCTCTCAGTGCTGCTGCCATCACTATTACTAAGAACAGAATGGTGCTATTACGTCTCAGGTCCATACACAGTATTATACTGATTTCTAATACATTGAACATATAAACACTGGAAGTTTCTATCTAGATTACTCATGATTCCTAGCAAAGTGTTTACCTGTGCTTGAGACCCTCTAAGCCCTATGTTCTTCTGAGAGCCATCAAGACTGAGAGAGGCATTCAGGACGATGTCCAGATAGTTCAGGGAGTTGTAGTCCTGTAAAAGAAAGGACCTTTAGCATTTACATATTTACATCTAAACAATCTTATCATTAGCGCTGCCACATTTCAGCTGTCGCAAAACCAATCTATTTCAGCTTTTTCAAAGAGATGAGTGCTGAAGTCAATTTTACAGAAACTCTTTATTAAAAAAGCAGCAGAAACAGTTTGCTGGTTTACTAATTTGACATGTTTTGTTTAAGTATATATAGTGTACAACAAGCAAGCCTTTGGCTTTACCTCCACAAAAGTGCTACTCCATAGTCGAGCGAGGAGGATAACAACTGCGGTGCTGTCCACCGCCTGAAGGGGGCACCTAAGCTCCACACAATTCAGTTCATCAGCACATGTCTGAAAAAAGAAAAATCAAAAATGGTGAGTAGGCCTTCCATAAAAATATTTTTGGTTTAAAACAATATGCACATCACATTAACAACTACTGTGCACAAGCTGAGCAACGCTGAAGGCCAGATAGGGCGCGCAGCTGAGGGCCCGGACCCCCACTGTGCCTTACTGCCTTCAGACTCGCATTTACCAGAAATTTGTATTTCTTTCTTCCGAACAGGGAGATAAATCCTGCAGTGCTGAGAGCGTCCACTTTCCCTTCATCTTCCACTTGGCGCTTTCCTCTGGGTGCCGCCTATGGTGAACCAGAGAGATCAGCGATTGTTATGGTAGTGCAGTTTCTAGCATCTGCTAACATCAAAGTCAGTTAAAGAAAAGGGAACGCATGTCGTTGAAAGTGAATTTTCCTCATTTTTTTAAATGAACAGGTTTGATGTAATATGTAAACATTGTTAAAGGTTCAGAGCATTGCATTCCACTCGGTTCCTACAGTTTATACATGGAATCTGCTTGTTTGAATTCATTTTACATTTACATATAGGCTTTTGGTGACACATTGGGTTGAAGTTAAGGTTAGGGTTAGGATTAGGTTTTGGGTTGAGGTTGAGGTTGAGGTTAAGGTTAGGCTTAGGATTAGGGCCAGAGTGAGGGGGTAAGAATAGGGTTTTAGGTTAAAGTTAAATGTATGAAGAGTGCCTCATCTCATGGTTTAAGCAGCCAGTCAGAACAGAGTGCATTTACATGTTGGAGCAAAACCTTTCATCTCCAAAATGAAATTTTAAGGAGACTTATTAGCTTGCAATGAAAGTCAAAGTAGGCAGATTTTTTTTCCAAGTAATTTTGGAACATTTCTGTTAATCCATTCAAAATAAAATGTTAACATGATGCAAAGTTTGGCAGATGTTTTTGAATTATGCAAAAATTAGAGATATAATTGAACAAAGAGATGAATTCTGACCATTTTGGGTACATAAAGCCAAATAAACGGATAAACGGAACTTATTAAAATAGCATACAAATTTAGGATATGGGCCCTTTAAGGAGTCATAGAAGGAGCAGTTGAATGTAAACATTGGTATGGTCTGTAAGCTACCTTAATATGTTTGAGCGGACTGATCTCTGCAGCTGGGGTGCATGAAATGGTCTGATTCTTCGGCCCAGTGATCTGTACTAGGTACAGGAGCCACTTGCCATGTTTGTTCTTCTTTGGCCACTGGATGTTCAGAGTTGCGGAGGCAAAGGACTTCAGAGGCCGACCCATGTTGCTTACCTGAATTTACAACAGCAGCAATAAGCAAAGCAATAGACTAGAGGCTATTGTTAATATGAAAAGGCCACTTCGCATATTAATATTGTTTACTATATGTATTGAATTACAATGCAAATATACAGTAGACGTTGGGTATTACAGATCTCATCTCAAGCACTAGCAGGCCTACAGGCAACTTTTTTAAGCCAAGGAGCCTTTTATGAAGTCCAATACCTATATATACATAATATTTATCTAAGCAGTAAGTGTGTTTTACCACTAAAAAAACATTACATAACATTAAATACAAAGCAAAATGGAAAAAGAATGAAACAGGAGTTTCCAAAACGCTGAGTCCAAAAATGATTGAA